GGTAATCAATCACAGAAGAAAAGTGACTGTATATGATAATACATAGTTGAGTGGACAATTGTAAAACAACAGCTGTTTCTTAGGATCAGGGAACTTCACATTCTCTCTACGTTTTTAAATATTTAATAGCTGGTAAATGTCAGTGCACAGTGTCCTTTTATTTGTCAGAGGTCAATCCAAAACTGTCAAGCACACACAAAGCAGCTAGTGACAGAACACAATAATTATGTTGTTTTCCTCTAAAAATATGAGTTTTTACATTTACTTTTTTGGCTGTGATTATAACACGTATTAAGATTTTCAATCCCAATTCCTCAAATAAATTATTAAAGTGTCATTTTTTTTATGATATGCCTTTACAAGAAAAATACATCATAATAGTGTGGTTTAAATGTGAAAATGATGCTTCTTCAAACAGCTTTATCTGGAGTGGTGATTAAAATGACCGCCTCTGGTCCAATGATGGTGACTTGCGGTGGGAGGGATGGGGGCCAGTGAGCTGGGGGTTGGCTGAAGACAGTAATGATGGTCTGCAGAAGGGACAGGAGCTGCTCTCCGGGTCAGAGTTGGGTTGAATCCTGACCCTGGTACTTATCTCTGGGGCCTCAAGCAAATTTTTTATCCTGTCTAAGCTTCAGTTTCTATTTGTATAATGGTGATCATGATACCCATTTTCAGTGTTTCTGTGAAGTGTAAGAGAGCCAGCCTAGAAGTTCAGGTACACCAGGAGGCACTCAGTAATGGTTGGTAGGCATTGTTATCACGTGAAGATTGAGGAATACTGGACATGTCTGGGTTCTAGCATATATCTTCATCTTTACCAATTCTTGTTTAAGAATGGAGAGGCGGCATCTGATGGGTAACTGACAGGTCCCCATGGACTGGACCTTCAAAAGGTTAGAAAGAGGTCAAATCCTGTCTCTACCTTTTCCTCGTCTTCTGGTCTTGGAGAAGGTACTCACTTTCCTGAGCACCAGTTTCCCCCTCAGTTTAATTGGACAGGGTGATATTTACTCCATAAATCTGTTTGGGGATTTCATGAGACGCTGTATCCAAGGCTCCACTGATTGTGTCTAATAGTGTAGACAGCTATTAGCCAATTAGATCTGCTTACTTTATAATTATCTGCTGAATAATGAGAGGAAATATCAGGGCCCTATTCCCAGACCACGCTAAAATGGTCATAATGTGTGGAAGGAGATGTAGACAACATTAGTTTTGTGAATGTCGAGAAATCATTTGTGTATCATCCCGGGTTTCATTTTTAAAACTTTTTCTAGTGAGGGAAACCCAAGATTCATTCAACTCCTCTGGTTTCATCCAGAACATTGGTTCAAGCAGAAGTATTTTAGTTCCATGTCTGAAGACCCCAGCACCTTTCACAGAATGGTGACAGCAGTCTCTACGGAACAGCCTGAAGGCGAGCACCCCAATACTCACCACCAATTGTTACCTCTACCGAACAGCAAAGGTATGCAGCACTGAGCATAATTCCCTTGCTCTGATGGAGAAAACATGAACTGTGTGAATAATTACCTCCAATGGAAATGTGATCCCACCATTCTCTGGTGCTAAAGCTTCTTTTTGGCATGCCGGAGTCTGCCCTTGGAGATCAGCACCCCTCAAGGTGGCTGGTTACAGTGCGGTCCCATCGGGTCCTTACCTGGGCTGCTTGCCTCTTACCTTCTCTCTTCTCGCTACAGTTTTGACCTTTCACTACCTCAGGCTGCTCTGTTGATGATTCGTCTCACCAGCATGCCTTCGCACATGCGGTTCCTGCTGCCTGCAATGCCTTTCCGCAAACCCACCTGGCACCCTGGTAACCAGCACTTTTCCAGGACATGAGTTCGTGAGGGACCTCTGCACACTGTTTCCATGGGATCCTGTGCACACGGCCATCACAGGAGCTGTTACTCACCTCGTTGTCCCTTGCTGGGCTGATGGGCGTGGAAGCCAGGAAGTGGGGGTGGCATAAATGCAGTAAAACCTCTGTCGTGTGATTGTATGAGGCCAACTCATCACTCTCTCATTTCCTATATGACTGGCACTCCCTTTCTGACGTGGTGTGAGACAGGGCCACAGACACCAGTCGTTGATGTCCAATCCCAATCAAGGCAAGGTGCACCTGCTCCGTGGAGGGTGAGCTGAGAGCATGGCCAAGCAGGTTCACATCTGGTTATCTGTTTTCACAGGGTATATCATGTGTCCATTTGATAGGAAGAAACTGTTGACTCAAAACAGGCTCTGTCGTTCACTAACTGCTGTGTGCCAACCCCGTCCCATGGAGGTCCACCCAAGCACAGCCCAGATGTGCCTCTGGGAATCTATCTAGACTTCTCTTCAGTTAATTCTGCTCCCTTACATGGATTATATGGGTTTTACCACATGGAGTATAAATGTCAACTTGTCCTATAGATGTGTGAAACTGGGCACGCACTGGACAGTTAAATTAAGCTGACGGCCTGACATTAGCTAGGAAAAACACAGACGCAAAGGAGACGCTGTCAAGCACTAATCATTACTTGACTTTAATTTGAGTTCAGCTGGTCTGGATGAACATAGGGATATACTCAGTAATTCAAAGCAGTTGTGGAATTTGCAGGGTGGGGCCGATATCTTGCTGCTTACTAGATATAGGGGAATTTGCTGTTAGTGCTAACGAAGATGTCCCCTGCACAGAAGGCATCTACTGCCCTGTATGCATGTACGGAAGCAAAGGCCAAGACAACTTAGCAATCGGCAAAACTCCTGCCCACTTGGGAAGAAATAATAAGGCAAGCAGACTGGTTGGAGCAACTGAAATGCATCAAGGACTGCTGGAATGGGTGGCGGTCCGCCTCAGCAGAGCCCCCCCCCCCCCCCGCCCGGGGACAGCACCCCACGGAATGGCGACAGCGGGCTCTAGATGGCAGTCTGAGAAAGATCGCAGCGAAGCTCATTATCAATTTTTATTTCCTACCATACACCAAATGTACACAGCACTGAACACAGTTTTGTTGCTTTGATGTAAGAAATATTAATCATTTGAAGAAACAGTATACAAAGAAGCTACTTCAAATAAAAAAAATGCATACATCATTGCCTTTCTGTTGTTTACAAAAGACCCAGTGTACAGTATCTATCATTAACGTCGTTGAAAGGAAAAAAAAAATCAGTGCACGTTACAAAACACATCAAGTACAAAGGAGGCAAATAAATACAAACATACTCCACAAAACATTCTGTTCAAACTTCCAACACAAATAAATTAACCCGAAGTCATAGTAAATTATAGTAATAAATACATAGGTTGGTAAGAGATTTCTTTTAAATTAAATAAAATATATAACGAATGTGTGAAAATATTTAGCAAATTAAACTTTCGTCTTTGTAATAAGTGAACTCATTCTTATGCATCTATCAAGGACTGTATAGCAAAATGTTTGCAAGTACATTAATAGAAAACTTTGTTTGGTGTCCCATTTATAATAGACAGCACATATGGTAGCTCTTTTTCTTAAAATTGATTTTTTTAAATAAACACCATTCCTATCTAAGAACAGACATCTCATTTTCACTAAACTAAGATTCGAGGGTTCAAATGAACCCCAATCCGAAGATAAGCCCCACGTAGTACATAACAATGACCACAGTGTCAAGGGAGTGAAATTACTGTTGATATTACTTTTAACTTGTGCAGGTAACAGTAATAACAGTGGAATATATCGAGCCTGTGAGTGCCATCACATTCAATCTACATATCCATGAGGCTAATAAAAAATAAACACTTTTGTTATAGCACAGAAAATCAAGCCCACACTAAGTTCAAGTGTCCATTTACACGGAGGCACATTGCACACGAGGTGTGTGTGCACACCAAAAAGGCAGTTTAGCTGGTTGTCTATACCTTTTTCTTAAAAAAAATAAATATAAAAAAACCTTTGAAACAATGCTTAACTACTTTACAATCCCTGAAATAGACATTGCCTTTACTATAGCAACTACTAAACTCTGATCTGTCCAGAAATTCAAGATCGCGGGCTCAATTTCACGTGTGTGTGTGAGTGTGTGCACCTGCGGGTGTGAGTGTGTATACTTTGCAGGGCTTGTGGTCCTGTGCAAAGGTTTGTATCAAATTGAAAGTTTTCCTGTTGCCTAAGGAGGGTAAGACAATGTTGCCAGTGTTCAAAGCAATTGCTCAGATCGGAGTAACGTTTTATCATGCGTTACTATATTTTCCCATTCCTTTCTAGTCCACCCAGTAAGATAAATGCTATTTCAGGGGATATAGTATCTACAAAAATTTTCCATTTGGATGTGTTTGTATTTGCTAAGTACAAATCTACATCAGTATTGTCACTTGTATATTGTACCAACATATGGCGGGAAAGCCTGGCTGGTCACATCAAGTCTTGTTTCTCATCTTGAGATAAGAGTTGCCAACTATCTGATATGACTTGAAAAACAAACAGACAAATCTGCATCACTAAAAAAGCGTATGTTTCTTTAAAACATGTCAAATAAATAAATTCATATTAACTCAAACCGTACAGCCAAGTCGAATACTTTGCTGATTGCTATATTTAATTATTGCTAACAAATTCTGAACAGGCTGTTTTTCAGTACACTGTGCGTCTGTGAGTGCGCATTTCCCACTAGTGGGCGCTCTTTATCTTTTTATTTCTTCCCCGCACCTTACGGCAAGCCCATTAACAAATCCCAAAGCCAGTGAAAGAGGAAAAGAAGTGTGCAAGAAAAATCAAACTGGACCATAGTGCAGTCCTTCGCCGAGGATCACCTTCTTACTCTTTTGTTTTCTCATTTAAACCCAGCAAGATACGTGGCTTGAGAAGAGCCTTTCTATTTAAATTCTATTGGAAAATAAATTAATAAACACACTTGTAAAAATATGGCAGACTTCAAAATGCAGTGAAAAGATAAAAAACTCTTTGATTAGAAATAAATAAAATATAAAAATGTCACATTTATTTTACATATACTTTACAAAAAAAAAACCCAACCAACCCAAAAGAGTGCAATGAAGAAATAAAATAAAAACATATGAAAATAAATAAGATCTAATATTTGACTGCATTGCTTTTAATCCAAAGAGTCTATCATAGTTTTCTTTCCTTTTTATGTCAGCTGGGGGAGGGGGGATTAGTGCAATTTTGCAATTGGAAATGCAGTGCGGCCACCCCCGTGCCTTTGTGGCACAGGAGCCCCTTCCAGATCCGTCTGTGTTACTGCTGTTTGTGATTTCCGTTGCCCGGCAGCGCTGTGGTCCTACACGTGGATGCCCTTCACTGCCTGTTTGATACTTTCCAGCAGAGCTTTGCATTCCGGGGAAGAGTCCCGTTCCAGATTGCTGTACATGTCTGTCAGGGTATTTACATAGGCTTCAAAATTCTGCTCGCTGATAGGTCCCTGAAGGAAGATAAAACACATTGAACGGATCAGAGTGATCCAGGCTGGGACCCAAGGAGGACCAAGTAACTCAGAGAGCATCAGTGGCCCCAGAGTCTGGGAGGGAAGGTAAGGACCCTCAGGGGTGCAGGGGTTTGCCGAGATGGAGAGACATGGAGTATGTCGGGGTTCATTTGTTCAGCCTCGACCCCATGAATGGACTTGTGTGATGGACTGTACGGTAGTTTGTGGTCGATTTGGAGCCACATGGGGTCGATGTCTAGCTACTGGGCTGGACCCCTCAAAGCTGCACTACTTCTCTTGAGAGACAACCTCGGCTTCTACAGCATGCGCTCAGCACGGCAGAGACACCCTGTTGGCAGAAGGTCAATGTCCAAGGGGCTGCGGAGAAATGCTTTAATTGAACCAGGCGGTCCCTTTGCCAGTGCGGGGCTGGAATTCAGGTCTGCTAAGATCTGAGCAAGCTGCTCCCAAACCGGGTGGAAATTTTTTCCTTTTTCATCCTCAGACACTTTTTTTGGTCCATTTTTCCCTTGTGGCATCACTGTCATATACTTTTTTATTTCTCTGTCTCTTTTCTAGGTAGCGTATCAGATTCACAAAGTCAGGATCTGCTTGTCCCTTATCCTTTTTGTGTGTTTTGGAAGCTCCTTTGCCTAATGTGGTGCTTCAGACAGTGGTCACTTGATACATGTATGCCTCATGTGTGCCTGGAGGGCAATGGACGACACAGAGGGAAGGCCACTAACCACTGCCTGGTGCCTCCGTTTCCCCACGTTTTTGAAAATGTGTGACATGTGCTTTACTGGCATCACAAAATGCTTGGAGGAAAGGACTTTTAAAAGGTCTAAATATGGGGCACCTTGGTGGCTCAGTCCACTAAGCATCCTACTTCGGCTCAGGTCATGATCTCACAGCTCATGAGTTTGAGGCCCAAGTTGGCCTCTGTGCTGACAGCTCACTGCCTGGAGCCTGCTTCAGATTCTGTGTCTCCCTCTCTCTCTGACCCTCCCCCGCTCACACTTTTTCTCTCTCTCAAAAATAAGTAAAACATAAAAAATGGTTTAAATACTATAGATAGAAAGGATATTATTTTTGCTGCTATTTAGAAAGTAGGCTTGCTAAATCGGAAGCTTATTTTGTTGTGGTGAACAAAGTACTGATTGATTGATTGATTTTTATGTAATTCATTGTCAAGTTGGCTAACATACAATGTATACAGTGTGCTCTTGGCTTCAGAAATAGATTCCCGTGATTCATCGCTTCCATACAACACCCAGTGCTCATCCCAACAAGTGCTCTCCTCAATGGCCATCACCATTTTGCCTATCACCCCCCAACCCCGCCACACCCCCACCCCCTTCCACTCTCAGTTTGTTCTCTGTATTTCAAAGTCTTTTATGGCTTGCCTCCCTCCCTCTCTGTTACTTTTTTTTTTTCTTTCCTTTCCCCCATGGTCTTCTGTTAAGTTTCCCAACTTCCACGTATGAGTGAAAACATCTCATATCTGTCTTTCTCTGACTGCCTTATTTCAGCAAAGTGCTGATTTAAATTATGAATGTTATCTAACAACAGTTTCATGTCCTCTTTTAAGTTTGCCCTGTGTGTCCTGTGGTTCTGGGAGAGTTTGTAACTAAGACCCTGGCACAGGGTGGGTAAAGACCACATGGTAAAGCTGAGCTCACCTGGCTCTGGACACATGATCAAATTAAACGAACTCTCTGAACTCTGATTTCTTCAGCTACAGAATGGGAATGCTGAGGCTCGGTCTTTGGGGTGTGTGTGTGTGTGTGTGTGTGAACATTTAGTATAACCAGCCCTAAATCTCACCACTACAATGCCTTGTAGACAGCTACACGGGGTTCATGTTCCCTTGTACGGTAATGATTATATTTATGACACTTGTGAAGGAAAAAATATTGAATACAAATTTCAAGTATGAATTAAACAAACGTTCATAAATAATATTATAATAATATCCAATAATTTACCTTAATATTAGACATCAATAATTTATTTTCCTTTGTGTTCTTTATTATTATATTATTGATTTTTTTAATTGTCAGAGACACATTTGGAATTGAGGCTGGAAAGTTGGCTAAATTGAAGGATTTATTGCTTTCAGGAAACCCAATCATCTTTTGTCATTAAATTGCTGCTTCTTTAAATCATTCTATACATAAAATTTGCAGCTTTAAAAAACTTGTTCTAAAAATGCACACATTCATGAAATTAAAAGCATTTGACAATGCAGCCCTTCTTCCAAATGGGTGTTATATTTATGAAAATGTGATAGAAACTAGTTATCTACGAATTTTAAATAGCGACCAAAACTCAAATACATATTTAGATTTTGAAACGATGCTTTGCTCACTTTTTTATTTCATAGAAGAACTTAAGTATGTTCTTCATACGTAGCAGGAAGGAAAAAAACAGCAAGTTAATTTTTTTTTTTTTTTTTTTTACAGTTCTTGAGTTGGGTGGATGGCATAAGCTTTCCATATGGACACAAACTTTTAATGAGGGAGCCCTGGCCTCCGACATTCATCTTACATGACAAAGCGAGATTTAAATAACCCCTCCCCTTTAAATGACTCCGACAAGATCAAAAACTCTTGGCCTTAAGGTAACTTAGCGTCTGGCTGGGTCATGGTCAAGGTGGGGGAGCGGGGGAGAGGTGGGCCGTGGTGCAGCTTGGGTCGGCGGCCGCGGACCTGACCGGCAGCCCTGGTGGCGACTGCGTGCAGGCGTGGCAGGGGAGCAGCCTCGGACTTACCATCTGTGGGAGCTGGATGTCCGCAAGGCTGGAGATGAGAGCTTGGCTGAGGCCCGCCAGCTCCTTCAGCAGGCTTTCATTGTTCTGCTCTATGAGCTTGTTCTCCTCCTCTATTGTCTTCAGGTTGCTCTCCATCGATGTGATCTGAAATGGAAACAACTTGGGACCGTGAGCGGCTGATCTGGACCAGTATCAAAGGTGTCCCTATGGAGGAGAGGCACCTGCTGAACCTAACTGCCACAGAATGCGTGCCCCGCAACTTTTCCTCGTAAAACCACAACCCATCCTGTTGCTCTAAGTTTGGGGATCACATTCCCAGGCTTATAGCTTTCTCCCAGGTTTCTCCCAGGAGTTCCAAATTCTGCATCTTCACGTGGCTGTCTGGTGGCCGTCCCCAGATGCTCCCCCCAAACCTGCTCCACACCCAGTCCTCGCCTACCCACATGGTAGCAATGTGACATCGCTCCGACCTTTGAGGTGTCCCTGAAGGCTCTCTGTCTTTCCCACGTCACACCCACTGGGCTCCTCCTTCACAATATCCAAGCTGGACACTGTCCCCACCTGCACTGCCCGCCCCCCCAGTCCAGCCACCGGAGGGACGGTGGAAGCCTTCCCATGGGCGGCCCTGCACCTGGCTTGGCCCCACGCAATCTCTTCTTGGCCCATCTTCAACAGTTACCAATCCAAGTCTCTTCAGATGTGAGTCAGAATATAGAGCAAACACGATTGATATATTGGTTGATATTGACTCAAAACCCCATAATGGCTCTGCATTAAAACCCAAGCTCTTTAAATGGGCCTGGGATGCTGCATGGGTCACCTCTCCTGGGATTCCCCCCTTGATCACTCACTTGCATGTGCTCACTTTGCTATTTCTCAGAACTATGGGCCTTCTCACGACTTAGGGTTTTTGCACTTGTGGTTCTTATGGGTTGAATCGCTCTGCCCCCACACCTGTTTGATGACCTCCCTCAGCCTCTTAGGTCTTTTCCAACATGTTTCTTTCTTCCCAAGGCCCAGATAGGAATCTGGCCGCTTCTTCCTGTCCCCTTGTCTCACACAATGTAATTTGTCTTTCATGATTTTTTTGTTATTATCTATCTCCCTCTTCTAGACTGTAAGCTTGCTGGGGTCAGAGGTGTTTGCTCTCTTCACGAATGGTTCTCAAGAGGAGTCCCCATGATATGCAAATCAATGCAGTGAGCTTTTTTGTACACCCGCTGGCTAGAAAGATTCTAACCCTGATCACGGTGGGTAAGGAAACCAAGCCTGCATTTCAGACAGACTGAAATGTTCTATCTTAGGCTGCTGTGAATGAGGACTTCTGAGAGTCAGTAACCAGAGAGGTCTCCAAACCCTGTGTTTCAGGAGGGCACAGAAGGGGGAAGGAAACTTCTGCCCAGGCTTTGTCTCATTATTCTTATCTCCCTGCCTTGCTGCAATACAGTCATTATTCGTGTTTTTTTTTTTTTTTTTTTAAATTATGGAAGGAAATTCTAATTTCCATTTGGATACATGTAGTCAGGGGAAGGTGCAGACATTACACAGGAGAATACGGAACTGAGAAATTGCTTGGGTTTTTCAATAAAGAATCTGTCCAGGAAAATCTCCAAAAAGACCCGTTTCTAACAGACACACGTGGAGAGGTGTTCCAGAAAACAGTAATTGTGGAAAGTTGCTCTGTTTTATTTGAGTTTTGAATAAAACTAAGTATTCTCGTATCTGTTTGTGACAATTTTTCTAAAGCTCCACACGACTTTAATTATTGGATAATCAAGTTTATTTGCTTCTAAATCCTTTAAAGCACACCAGATAAACACAGGAGTAGCTTTCCCTCCAGCTACCACACCAATGGTGGCCCAGGAGGATCTACATGCCCATCAAGCTTTACAATGATGATGTCACCGAGACATGCTCAGTATATTCATAGCAAGATAACAGTTTATCTTTTATCACAGGTTTAGCAGTTCATTGTTTTCCCCCCACCTGTGGTCATGATCACTTTAAAGATAATGAATAGCTTTCTGTTGTTTTGTTGTTTTTACCTGCGTTTGGAGTTTCATCATATCTGCTTCAATTTTAAGGTTGGACTCATTCAGTTCCTTTATTTCTTCATCCAAATGCCGAATTTCTTCATCACTCTCTATACCTATGAAAAGTCAGACCTTCTGAGTGCAAACGGAAATGTGACATAGTGACAACAGGAGTCATTTTATGTTCAGTTTGTTGGTTTGCTAAGGGAAAACGAGAGGTTAATTTCAAATGCTGAATTTTTACCCTAACCAGTAGCCAAGATTCTAAAAGAGTGCGATAAAGATGTGCAAGATGAAATGTCTTTGTAAGATGAGGAAGTAGAAATGTACTTTTCTACACTTAATGTAGCACCGGTAAGTTCCAGGTATGATGCTAGACTGCAAATAATTTCTCATGTAAGCTTCAGTGCAAGCGATGGGGTATGTTCCATTATACCCTGGTCGCATATGAAGACACTAAGTCCTAGCAAGGCTAAATGAGGCCACGCTCATCACTGACAGAGGCTGCCTAACCTGCTTGTGTCCACACTGACAGGCAGAGTGGGGAACGAATCCCAAAGCCCATGCATCCTCTCATATACAATGATGCTCAAACAGCGCATGAATTATGCTGATTATTATATATTTATTACCTGTGTGGGACCTGAGAACCATCACTGCTGGCAGGAGGCTTAGAGACTAGAGACATGGAATTCAGGTTCCCTACGTGGAGCTGGATAAAGATCAAGGCAATCTAAGAGAAGGACCATGGGCTTTGGAGTTGGAATGCTGGCCTTGACTCTTGCTCTCAAATCTGTACAACTTACAAAAGTTCTCTGTGCCCCGGTTTCCTCATCAACCAAATAAGCATAAAATCTATGCTGTGAGAATCAATGCAAGAAATTTTAAAGTGCTGAACGTATAGTAGATTCTCAACGAACGGGGGTTATTTCCTATTGCTATTTTATAGAAGGAATATGAGTGTATTTTAAGTGTTTTTAAAAGCTGGGAACAGTAGCTCATATTAAAGAAGCAGGTAAGTAAGGTAATTTTAGCAGTCCTGATAATGAGTCTAAGCCAAAGAGATGACAGTTAAGAGGGATACATGTAGGGGCGCCTGGGTGGCTCAGTCAGTAAGCATCTGACTTCTGCCCAAGTCATTATCTCACAGTTGGTGGGTTCACGCCCTGCATCGGGCTCTGTGCTGACAGCTCAGAGCCTGAAGCCTGCTTCAGATTCTGTCTCTGTCTCTCTCTGCCCCTCCCCTGTTCATTCTCTCCCTTCTTCCCTCTCTCTCTCCCCTTTTCTCAAGAATAAATAAACATTAAAAAGGAAAAAGGGATACATGTAAACTTCTGCATTTGGAATTACTAAGATTGAACTCATGAAAGCAAGGACGAGCAAACTGACAATTTGTGTGAGAGACTTCTAGCCTCTTATACTGTCCTGGGGTTACTACACTGGAAAACAGTTCATTGTCCCCATGAAGGTGAACTTCATGTGCTCTGTGACCCAGCAATTCTATTCCGAGGTGCACGCCTAAGGCAAATGGCTGCACACGTGTGGCATGCACAAGATATATGTGACACAGTCACAAAAGCCCAACCTGGTAACACACCACATGCCCACCAAAAACAACATGAACAACTCTTACCAATACGATATTTTAAAGAAAAGCCCATAAGCCCTGAAAGTTTCCATAAAGCATGATAAAACAGGTGGCTGTTTTGTGGGCACTTATTGCCTTATTACAAGTAATTAAGTACCTAAATAAAAAGAGGCCATGCATGCACCAATGAAGAGAGTAGGTCGCAGGATTGATTTAAGGCTAGGCTCTGAGATTCAACGGAGAAGAGAAGCAAGCCAACCACTACGATCTAGACAGTTTAGACCACTTTGAATATGAGTCAGCAGTGTGACACAGCTCCTACAAAAACAATAAAGCATTGCCCAGGACAACACTGATAGCTTTATAATAGCCAGGACACAGGACTCAGGATGTATTCTGAGCTGGCTGGCTGCATCTGCGGACTTGTACTGCACTCGGAGCACCAGGCTTTACTGGCTGTTGTCCTAGACAGGATCTTCTCTCAGACAACTTGTTCTCATCTGTGTGAGGAGCTGTCCGTGGCTTCTACTCCCTTCACTGTCAACGGTGTTGCTGCGTTCTTATCATGAAGGTTCACAGGAAGTACCTTCTTCATGCACTCAGTTCCAGAGAGAGTGTTGTTCCAAATCTACTTACAGACAGTGTGATTCCCATAGTGATTATATTACCCTTTTTCTTCTAAAAAGCCTAAAGTCAAATCCGAGACCCCTTTTTACCCATTGCGGAGGGGCTTGCTCTGCACCCTCCTTCTAGTATCTTCAGGCCTGCTCCACCTTGCCTCCTCGTCTTTGATCTCCTTTGGTCTCGTTTCCTGAATTATTTTCTAAGTAGCTTTTTTTTAAAATGTAGCCTCGCACTCCCTGTTATTTAAATATTGTTTGAAATAAGGTGACATGTAAATAAATAAATATTAAATTGTGCCCTTTTCACAGAAAATGCGCTAAGAGGCAGTTGAGAAGTGAGGAGTATTTCTAAAGAACAGTGAAGACATCTGGAGAAACATTTTTACTGAGCATCTAAATGTCAGAGAGAATGGCGAGCCTAGTCCCGAATCCCTAGCACTTTTATTCCTCCTCCACGGTCATATTGACCCCCTTTACCCTTAGTAGTGGCTGCAGGAGGAAAAGCAGGTCCCCAAGGGGCCACTTTAAGTAAGGCATCTGATGGCAGATGAAAGCCTCAGAAGGAAAAGAGGAAGCTCAAAAGCGTTTCCCTCCTTTGGGTATTGTGTATCTTCCTTTTAAAAAATCACACACAAGGGGAGCCTGGGTGGCTCAGTCGGTTAAGCATCTGACTTTGGCTCAGGTCATGATCTCATGGTTCGTGGGTTCAGCCCCACATCGGGCTCTGTGCTGACAGCTCAGAGCCTGGAGCCTGTTTCAGATTCTGTGTCTCCTTCTCTCTGCCCCTCTCCTGCTCACGCTCTGCCTTTCTCTCTCTCTCAAAAATACATCAACATTAAAACAATTTTTTTAATAACATACAAATTAAAAAGATTGAGGAATGCTTTTGAAGAAATAAAGTAACAACAATTACGCCATTCCAGTTATGTACCAAATACATGATCAAATAAATCTCCAATGCAAACACGGTTGTTTTGTCATTGTTCCCTGATGCTTTAGAATGACGTTCTAGGAAAACAGCATGTGGCTGAGATAATACTGATGAGAAATCTTGAGAAAAGCTCAAGAATCAAAGGAAAATTGAAGGATCCAAAGACAGAGCTCAGAAACTGCATCTATCAATTTTGATAAGGCATTGACACTAGGGACATATAGCTACAGATTTGGATACAAATTTAAATCATCCAGATTCACCATAAAAATATCATTCTGAGTGTGGAACAAAACTTGAGGATTTAAAGATAGATGCCCCAAATTGTATTTCTTAAAATTTGATGAAGACTTACACCAGGAGCACACACACACACACACACACACACGCACACACGCATGCACACGCACGTGTACATGCATACTAGTGCAAAAGGTGTCGTTTTGAGCACTGGGGAACAAAAGTTCACCCAGTGTTTCCTAATCCCTTGAATAGCATTGGTTGGTTTTCCGTCGGAGAGCCTTACTAAGAAGGAAGGGAAAAACCCAAGAAATTATTTTTTTAGATGAAGTTACAGTTTTAGTTCAAATTCAAGGAAAGTTTCCTTCTCGTATGTGAAAATTGCACTTCCCAAATAGAGACTAATTTGGTATGAGGACACTGAGAGGACGTCCAGCTTAGACCTTGGTGGGGACGGTGGCCTTCAGCTCTGTGCTCTTACCTCCTGTTGCTTTGAGCTTGATGGTCATCAGTTCTTCAGAGACCTTGCCCTTTTTGATGGCTTGTGCATTTAGAGGACATCCAGATAAGCTGTGAACACGGAAATTATACCAATGTGTGAGACACGTATTATTTCTCCCTTTTCACATGTATTACTTCTTACAGAAATTAAAATTTTGTATTCCCACTTACTGTCTTTGCCTGCCTACTAATTACTTTATAATCCACAGTCTCTTTTAGAAATAACATGTAATATGTATGAAAATGAAAACAAAGGCCCTCAAATAATGTAATAATGTTTTGTGCTTTAGTCCTTTAAATCAAAATACAAATAGCTACTGCTGACAATTAATTTTTGATAATTAATTTTGTTAAAGTTACTATTCTGTATTCATAGTGCCTTTTGGGGGGTAGTTTTTCCTTTATTTTCTATAATGTAAAATAGTACATATGTACTACAAATAAGAATTGTTCCAAATTTGTCAAAATTCCATGAGTAATAAAGAGAATCTAGTTCTTCTTGTTTTTTATATGCTGTAGTATAATCTTTACAGAATGGCTCAAATTAACACAAATCCAAAATAATATGACCCCAAGATAATAAAAATAAACAGGTACATCATATACCATTTGGGCATGGAAATGTTTCTAATTTATTCTCTAACTTTTAAAACATTAATTTTCATTTAAAAAAAACTCTACCCCAAAAGGAGACTAAAAAGAAATGCTATAAATGTATTCAAAGGCGCCCCCTATGGGCAGCGTACATTCCTGCAGTGGGGTTTATCCCTTTTCCTTAATAACTACACTTGCGCTGTGCCTCCTTTCCTTAATGTCACCTGTTTTATTTAAATTGCACCAAAATGATAATGACAACATTGAACAAAACTTATGTCCTATAGTACATGCTATAACAACAATTTTTGTTGTTTTAAGCAACCATTAATTATTTTGCAATATTGCTGTATTTTTAGAGGTATGATTTTTGAATAATATTAAAAATGATCACAACTGGCCACTTCAAATATTTCCCCCCCAGGTATTTGGTTACAATATGAAACAATCATTTTCGACCTGAACACTGGGACACTTGACAAAGTGAAAAAAATATATTTCTGAAGCAAAGCCCTTAATAAATGTTTGCTAAATGAATGTAGTTTTAAATGAATTCTAAGTCTTTTTATGTGAAGATTATATGAAATATAAAAATAATAGATATGTAATATTACATATAAAGAGAAGGCCATGTGGTTTGCTAAAATTTGCCAAGCTATGAAATATTTAGCATGGGAAAAGAAAATAATGAAAGAGCACAAACAGAACCACAAACTCGATTTTCCTGTTTTGTAAGCTTCTTGCTGTAAAGTGTGGCCTATAAGCTTCATTATCTTTCTTTCTTTTTTTTTTTTGAAAAGCTTGCACAAGTCTGTCTTATTTTATGTCACATGCTATGGTCTCAGAAAACTGTCATGAACAAGATTAATATTTAGTGGGTAAGGTGGACTTTGAAAGTGACTTGTAGTGTGTCCACTTGTGATGAAATGGTAATGGCCTTTAACAGCTCAGGAAAACTTCTCCGACTCTCTCCTCTAAAAATCGGCTTTGTTCCGACCACAGGGCAACAAATGTCCAGTTGTAGCAGTGGTGAGGAGAGTTAATGACGCATCCACAGCTATGTGACTTGGAACTAAAGCACATGGTAAGTTATGAAAGTGAGGACACGGTTGCAAAATATCACTGATAGTTTGCATTTTCCGATGTTGTTATATCTTCCAGGTGTAAAACAAATCTTAAATTGAAAAAATGGAATAGGAAAAGATGATCACCAGTTATTTTCCCATTTGAGGGTGAACATGCCCTCCACGGGGTTTCCGCCTGTCAGGAAAGGCAGAGGCTAGCTGGGGTGTCCTTGTCACGGTTTGGGCTCCGTATTGTAAAGGCAGGAAAAAAGGCAGGTCAAAATGGCTTTGACCCAATTTGTAATTCTGTCACATATCTTCATCTGCTTTGTTAAAGTGAAAGAGCGGATGATACAATTTTTGTGGACATTGCTGTTTATATTAAAACTCTGGGGGCGCTTGGGGGGCTCGGTTGGTTGAGCGTCTGATGTCAGCTCAGGTCATGATCTCACTGTTCATGAGTTCGAGCCTTGCATTGGGCTCTGTGCTGACAGCTCAGAGCCTGGACCCTGCTTCAGATTCTGTGTCTCCTTCTCTCTCTGCTCACATTCTGACTCTCAAAAATAAATATTAAAAAACTTTTTACAAAAAACAACTCTTAAACAACATACAAAGTGATGGCATAGCACTAAAGGAGGCCATAGAAGTTCTTGCTCTAAAACTACAAACATCCATCCTGTGTGTGTGTGTGTGTGTGTGTGTGTGTGTGTGTGTCTGTGTGTCTGTGTCTCTGTGTTTTAATATAAAATCATTTGTCTTCTCAGACTGCTGTGTTTTTCAAAGTAGAAGTCTGTCAGTTAAGACTTAAAGCAAGATTTAAAAATAATTAGTCTGTAGATATTATGCTATGTAAATGCATGGGCCAAATTATTCTCGGACATCCTCTAAGGTAAATGTTGTAATCATTCCCGTTTAACAGAATGTTAGAATGAGAAAAATTACAGAATATACCTTAGAGAGCGGTTGGGAGAAAACCAAGTGCACGAGGCTGGCACTCAGGAAGATTCACTGAGCACCAAGGAGGCTCACAACAGGGGCTCTGCTGTCTGGCCACTCTCTGCAAGGGCAATTCCTGAACTTCCCTGTCCTCTTCTGTCAATGGGGGATAATTGCACTACCTCTGTAGCTCACAGGGTTTTGTAAAGGATTAAAGGAATAAAGAACGTAAGGTACTTAGGACAGTGCTCTCTACTGGTACAGAGCGTGCCCTGAATAGATGTTAGCTATTGTCAGCGAGCGGAGAGGGTACTGAACATCCTCAGGGATTTGAGGGTCAAAATACAGAATATATAACAGTGTATCATAGGTTAAAACGTGCTATTTCAGCATAAGTCATTCTTCCCTTAATGAATTATTAATGAATTATTGCATATATATATATACAGATGTTAATATAATTTTTATGAAAGGGAAAGGAATCCGTCTGGGTCAAACACTATTATGTGCCAGGCTCCAAGCTAGCCGCTCTTTTTTTTTATTAAATTATTCCATTAAATTCTATATATAGTAAAGAGAAGCATTCCACTTTAAAGAGAATACTCCAAAGTAAGTTCAGTGTCTTAAACCCTTTAAGTAGCAAGAGAACTTTCCAGTGAAAAACAGTGAAATATGAAATTATTCATTTGTCTAAACAATTATTTTCTTTCTCCTACAAAGTGATATCTTGGCATTAATACTGAAGCTTATATTTTTGACTCATAATTTTCTTTTTCTTGTTATGAAACGGGTTATATGTACATAGATACATACAATGTATATTTACGGTTTAAAGAATACTCTCAAGGTGAACACCTTTTACCTTCAAACGTGAAAATGACTTTGATACAATTGCCTCTCCTGTCCCCAAGAGATAGCCGTTGCCTGTAGGTTAATGATGACCTAGCTTTCCAAAATGCAATTTTGCTACTTGTTTCTAACTTTTGAGAAACAGAAGCATGCCACACATATTCCCCAGCATTCTTCCCCACTCCACATTGTGTTCTAAAATTCACTCAGGCTTCGCTTTCATTTTCACCATGCCTGGCAGCCCCCATATGCAGATCCCCTGTTTCCTTACGCACTTGACTGTCAGTGGGCATGGGCGTGGTTCCCAGTTTGGACTTTGTAGAGCGATGCTCCCATAGACACTCTCCAACGTGTCTCTGGGCTCCAGGGTGCAGGAGACTCTTTGAGGCATCAGCCTCCCAGCTCAGTGTCTGGGTCAGTGGGTATGTGCATTTGTTCTTTTTCAACTTGATGTCCTGAAGTGACTGGCTCTTCCAGTGACTCTTCTACCTCTAGTGAGTGTCCCTGCTGCTCCCTATCCTCACCCAACCTTGTATCGTCATTTAAAACTTCATGATTTTCAAAGATAATTCTGTTGTTGCTGACCGAGGGCTGTGCTCACCATAGGACAGGATTAACATTTTCGTTATCGGTGTCAACACGGATATTACTGAGTCCATGATAAGAAAGTAGCACTACTTTGCAGGTAATATGCCATGAGGCACACCTGATTTGGGACTGTCATTCCCAAATATGAAGTAATGATTCAAACCCAGAACAATGTGCGCTGTTGTGAACACGACTGTGCATTTGAAAAATCAAAAAATTAAGCCACTTAAAACATTTAGGTTTTCTCGATAAGCAGATAAGCTATATGTCCACTCAGAACAACTATTCCTGGAAGGCTTAGTTTTCTGATACCATTGATATGTATCTTTCAAATCAAAGAAAATATAGAACACCCCAGCTTTCCTCAATTTGCATACCACACATACACAAAGCATCACAGTTCACTAAAGCTGCACTGGATGTTAAATGTGCATCATGTACAGGGGGCCAGAAGACTAGAAGGGCCCTCCTTATTAGAGAAGTGTGTAGTGAATCTTCTAGGTCTTTTCTTCAGGTAGAATGTGAAGCAGAAAGCTGGATGAAGATCAGCGTTCCCAACAAAGGACTCCATTGAAATCCACGACACCCAGTGATAAAGGAATTATGTCATTGTGAAAATAGAAAGGGTTTTCTAAATCTCTTTCATCCTGTGATATACTTAGGAGCCACTGTGTCATTCTCTTTCTGGCTGCTGGAGATGAGTCACATCCCCCCAGCAGCAAAATAACTACAATTTAGCCTGAAATTGAGCCAGTTCACGAGAGAGAGGGACATAAATATGTAAAGAGAAAGTTTACAATTACGCGACATAATAGAGTAAATATCACCACTTGAAATTGAAGCGGACCATTAAAAGACGAAACCATTAAAAAATAGCAGCCTAAGCAAATTTTAGAACACAAAAACCAATCGCAATTTCTACAGCCCTTGAAAACTATGTAGTAAATTTTCAGAAGCAGAGAAAATAGCATTTTTCATTCTTCAAAGTAGTCAAACATCTATCTGGCAAGACTCATTGCTACATCTGAAGTGCTATGATTAATGCACCCAAAAAAGGATTCCCCACCTCGACTCAAAGCCACTGAGAGCACACACCATCACGACAACAACAACACAAGTCAGAAAACAAACGTTACCTTCTGTGGGTGACAAAAACGTTATTTACATGGCCCAGCCCGTTGCAACCTGGTAAGGGACAGTGTGGCAGTTCTTGTTTGTTCAGTTTCCAGGAGAGGGGGGCCCCGTTGAGAGGATTCTCCTTCTGTCTCTTGGCAGCCAGGGGACAGCCAGAGGCTGTGCGGTGCGACGTGTATTTACCTGATATGTGACCTTGGCCATCACACCCTATCACAGGGCATCTGGAGAGACACAGCAGACATTACCAGCAGGGAGACAACGGAAAACTCACACGAAGAACTGTAACCAGGTGAGTAAGGCAGCAGCGGCAATTCCATACTAAATAGACGGCAAGTGGTGAAATTAAGGAGTTTGGAAAATCCGCTAAGACCAGAAAGCTTGCATTGTATTAGCAGTCAGAGTGGTGCTCAGGCCCGGGCTGAGCAAGGTGCATGTAATCTTCACCACAGACCCATTGGACAGAGAGCATTATTATCCCAGTTTTTAGGTGGGAAAAGAAGACTTGTGGAGCTCAGGTAACTTGCCACCCAATTTACTAGAAGTGGGGTCAAGTTCACACCCACAGGCTTTAGGTCCAACTGCATGAGCCCTGCATTGGGCTGCCTCCAAATAAAGACCAAGGGTATAAAATGTTAACCACTATGCCCTACACTACATAACACCTTGCCCATAGAATGGGGATGGTGGTCTTTCAAATGTCCAAGTAATGCATTTAGAAATGTAGGGCAAGAAATTTACATTTATACATCTGCACCTACATATATTGTCCAAGACCTGATAGCCTATTTCTCAGAACAGGGAATTTAATTTAGATAAAATTGGGGGCGCCTGGGTGGCTCAGTTGGTTAAGCATTTGACTTCAGCTCAGGTCATGATCTCATGGTTCATGGGTTCCAGCCCTGTATTGGGCTCTGTGCTGGCAGCTCAGAGCCTGGAGCTGCTTCAGATTCTGTCTCTCCCTCTCTCTCTGCCCCTCCTCACTCCTCCTCTGTCAATTACTCTCAAAATTAAATAAACATTTAAAAAATAATTTAGATAAAATTGTACTTTAATGAAAATTAAAGTTTTGGGCGGAAATACTGCCATATTTGTCATGTTACAGCACTTTTATTAGGCTGCTTTTCATTAAAAAATTTGGAAAAAGTATAAATTTTCTCTCCCTTTTGCATTATCAAAGAACTGCGGACACACAGCTAGGAATAAGACAATTTTCTTGAGCTTTTAAGCCCTCTGACTGCTTCTTCAAGAGTCCTTGCATTTCATAGGCTACCCCTCCCCCCCACCCCCCCAAACGCTAAGTTGCTTCCCAACCCGTGTCCCGCACATTTGACCGACAGGCTACTTCTGGCCCTGGCGCCCCACCTCCACTGTCACACTCACTTGAGTTCAGGGTCTTCTTTTTCTTCCTTCGTAGGAGTCATTTTGACACCACCCTTCCTGGCACGAGGGCAGCCGGACAAACTAAACACGGGCAAGACAGAAAACAAAACCAGACCACGTGATCTCACCGACCACTGCCGCAAGGCTCTGCTTTCCCTGCTGGAGGCCGGAAGTCGGGCTTACCTTCTGTGCGAGGCGTAGTTCCCAGTCACGTGCCCGGAACCGTCGCAACCCGGGGTTGGACACCTGGAAAACACGGGAACAGAGCGTCGGCAGCGTGGTTCTGGTGGGGGGAAGGGGATCATGACGCGTTCCAGTAGAACTACACAGAACGAGTTGCTTTTTGGTGGACTCTTTTTCTCCTTAAATATAACGAGTTGGGGCCAAGAATACATTTTTAAAGAATACGTTAAGAGGTATAAGATACTAGTGTGTGATGCTTAGCAGTGTACTAGTTGTTATCCTTTCTTTCTTTCTTCCTTGCTTTGACTTTATTTTGGGAGGACTCTGAAATTCGGCCCACAACCTAACTGCTGACCTTCTGTGTACATCATGCAAAGTTTTTCTTTTTCACTTCAGGAGAAAAGTTTTCCAGATTGTTTTTGTGCACAATTTATTTTCTTTGATTTGCTCCACTACCACGATAATCCATTAAATTCAGATGGACAAGAATGGTGTGTATGCACTCCAGAGACTTGGCACATTAATATAGTTGCCAAAGAACCTAAGTCGTTTGCACCTGGCCTGTTCTGCCTCATGGCCCAACTTAAATGTCCTTTTGGAAAGTCTACTAATAGCTGTTACCGACAATCAACCCCTAAATTTGCAATGGGAAGGGGAAAAAGACGAAGAGGAATCTAAGTCTACTTGGAATGGTGAGTAGGAATAGTTTCAAAACATACTTGAGAGTAAAAATTGATATAACTTCTCACCATTTGTTACCTTTTTAAAAATCCTCAATACTCAGAAAAACACAGAGGCCAAAATAAAATGTTTGCTTTTCTGAAGGTTGCTGTACCCATTATCATTGTTACTATTCCACTGTATGCTCACCCTGGTTCAAATTTCTACCCAAACAAGAGTTTGAAAATAATGATAATAAGTAACATGAGTACCGTTCCTTTTCTTAAATGCTAACCCACTGAACTTTCATGAAAATACCTTTATATCCAGCCCTGAGGCAGAACATAGAGTATAAACGCTTTTTTCCCCCAGTGAAATTTAAAATCAGCATACATCTCGGCAAGCTGACCAGAGAAACCTGCTTTGTGTCTTTAACCAACCTTTTAAAGATAGAATTTCTATTCTGTATTGTAGGAAAAGATTGATAGCTGGTCTTTTTCTATTAATAGTTCTAGGAAAATAGTGGTTTCCTAGCGTATTGAAATTATAGAAAACTCTGTGCAAATGACCCTGTTTTGGAATTCCACTTGAGCATCTAAACAAGAGGTCAATGAAATGTCTCTTTTTCTTTTTTGTATAGAACCCCCCCCAAAGATGTTAGTTATCAGATGGCTGTGCAAAACATGTAAATACTGAATATTGCTATAGAACTTCTTGACCTACATGTTTCCAATATGTTTTCAACATTTTTTTTCTAGAAATAATGTTCAGAGGAAATAAGGCATGGAAACTTAGACATTTAGAACAACTGAGTAAGGCTGAATAAAAGTACTAAGTAAGATAAGTAAGTCTGATTATTTCTCTCTTTTCACTGGCACCTCTCTCTTTTCAATCTGTTAATTATTTCTCAACCTAAAGTTCTTACATTTCAGTCTAGAAAAATAGCAATCTATAGCATGATTTCCAGAATCTATACTGACACAATCAATTGGACTTTACATATTGAAAATGAGAAAAGTTGCATATTTCATAGTTCGCTTTACTATTTCTGGTACTAAAATTCACCAGTTTTATATCTGCTTAGTATCACCTATTCTTTCATAAATTTGTCTTTTGTAATTTTTAGAGAAAGAATTTTAAATAAGTTAGAGAATGGAAAGACTAACAAAATAAAGAAAATAAAATATCTGCAATTTTACTTGTGATTTCAACATCAAATATTTATTTGACTATATGTACACATATTGTTTTATCACTAGACTCAGTAACACTCATTTTTCTTAAATTATTATTATTTGCAAATAAGTTTCATGCATTTCATTTAATGTTATTCCTTATCATTTTCTAAAGTTATGCCCTATTATATTTTTAAAGGGCATAATGTAGAGTATAACTTTTTATTATTCTATATATAATATAACAAGATGTGAAAATAAACAAATGAGAAATTTAGAATAAAAGAAGAGTAGGCAAAATAAACTCATTAAGTAGAAGTTAATAAACATGTGACTTTGAGATCCTATAGACTAGATTGAAATGGACCAAAATTGTGTTGAGCTCCCAAAAGTGAAAGAGAATCCTATGATTCAAAATTCCCATAAGGCAAAATATTATGCAGTTTACTTAGATGATAAAAGTGCTTTGCCACACCTTCGTAGGTCTCATTTAGTACATAAATTCTGAAATCAACAGAAAAAAGTATTATGTTTAATGATTACACTGTTACCTTAAAAAATATTATAAAAAATCCCCCAAACAAGCCAATTAATGAAATTAAATTATAGGGAGCTGGTTTTAGTCATTTGAACTTTTTAGTGAAAGAATGCATTGGTTATAGTCTTATCAGGCATGGTTTACTACCTGTTAGTAAAGACCCCCATAGGTCTTGAATGAGGAGAGACCTAACTCAGTGGATGAAAAGCAAGGAGACCATGTTCTGATACTTACTTAAGCTCCTGAGAGTTAGCAGCCATGAGAGATTTAAGAGTCTTGTCTGCTAAAGGACATCCAGACACACTAAAGAGGGAGGAGAGAAACAAAAATAAAACACACAACACTGAAATGAACAAATCCAACTAAAATGGCACCTTGCATTTGTGAATATGTGCTGAATTGACTGGTGACCGAGGACTGGGAGGTGACCGAGGACTGGGAAAAATACATCAGGTTTGAATCTGGCTTTGCCACCCTAACCGGTCTGGGCTTGTGGGCACGTCAGTTATTTCTCACAGACTCAGGTTTGCTATCAAATGAAGGGCTTTAACCCAGTGAGACTCTCCAACTCTAGAATTCAGTGATACAATGATTACTGACTTGGAGTTCATTTCCATTGCACATGAAGGTGTGGAGTTTAAAGGGCTAAAAGCCAGTGCCCAAAGGGAAAGCAAAGCACATAAATGAAGAAGGCAAGTGGAAAGAGTAAACCCAGCTTTTTTGCATTGTTTAACACCTTGACCTTTCATTTGCCCAGGACTGAGGATGCCACATCCCACAAGGTGAATGGCAACCCAAGTTGCCATTCGTTGCCTTACCTTGGTTTCACTTGAATCCTAAAGCTAGATAGAACCAAAGCCCCAACATAAACTTGAGCTTTTGGCTTATAATCTGCACAATAGGACCAGAAAACCATTTTCTTTTTGCCCCAGAATCATGATTTCTATACCATATAAATAAAAAGTCAGAAGATCTAACTTAGCTTTATTTCTGAAAAAACAAAAACAAAAACAAAAAACAAACATAAAAAACCCAAATGCCCCCAACCCCAACTAACTCACTTTTCAATTCGGGATCCAGATACTATCTAATGGGTGAGAATAAGTATTTACATTGGAATAAGATGTTGTAGGTTATCAGGTACCTGCGGTGGGATGCATAGTTTCCTGTGACATGGCCACTCCCATCACATCCTGGCGTTGGACAGCTGAGTCAAAAAATATAGAATTAACGTCAAGTGCTTTTCACAGATTCATTTGTTGTGTCTACAGGTTTTGAGGTAGCATCTCTTTTCAAGATCAGTTAGCACAGGACATGCAGGAACTAGTGAATGAAGGATTTATGCTCTGTAGGAACCGGTAGACTAGCTACAGGAAGACTGGCAAGATCTGGAGGTATTCGTTTTCAATATTACATTAATTCTCTGACTCGAACCATGTAGGAAAGTGATGCGAAAACATATGCCCTAATGATGTTATGAGTCAACAATCAATGATGTTTTAATTCTCGGAAAATATAAATGTCATAAGCCCATGCTTTATAATGAGGATGGCTCTTGGGAATACTAGCACCAATTATATATCAGATTTTAGAAAGGAATTTTTGTAAGTTTTTAAGGAAAGGATATTAGAGTAACTTCATATATATTTCAGAAACTACTTGAAGAAAAAAATCTTTGAATATACTACATGTACTGGAAAGGTAAGCTGACATTTTCTATGGGAAAGTTGCTGATGATACAGAAATAGATAAGAAACTTAGTTATTAAAGCCTGCGATTAGTTTTACCCAAAGCTTGAAACCAACATAAACAATTGCTAATTAACAACTGAAGCGGTAGAGTCTCCAGGTCACCTGTGCTGGGGCACCCCATTGTATCTCAGAAGCTGGTCACATTCTGTGCATCTTATGTGTATTTTAAAAATAAGGTAAGAGGTTTTCTTTCTGTAGTTAATGGATTCCTTGGTTTCTCAGTCGTTTATTTTCCTCTGATGCTGCTCAAAAGTCACTCATTTGGAGTAAGCAGATTGACCCCAGCCTACTCAGTACTATTTGTGGCAGTGTTAATCAGAGGAAAAATCAGTTACATCATTCAGGCTTCTGGTTCTCTCTGACACGCTGCCTAATGCAAAGGCTTACCCATATGTGTAGAATACAGAGTTCACCTCTCTGAAGGACATTGAGAGATAAATTGCCAATATCTAAGATTTTCTGAACTATCGCCTTTTAAGTTTTCTTCCCCCCTGTGAGCTACTTTCTAATCATCTTCAGGTGATCTAAAGAAACTATAAGAGTTAGTACATTTCTATCTCTCAGGGAGATTTTGATTTTCAGGGCTTGATCTAAGCTGAATTGACTAGCTCTTCCCCCATCGCTTTCCCTAGATGGGTTATCAGAAAGGAAAAGTAGAAGCTATCCATATATGTAAACAAGTAAAGAAAAAAAAGAACAATGGTTAACATTTGAGCTGAGTTATCTTGCAAGGGCCATTCACCCACTAAAGGAGAAAAAATCTTTCCTGAACACCGTGCAACTGGAATATTTGGAGCATGAGAGATGTATTGTAATTGCGTGGTAATCCCCACTTTTGAAATACAAGGCCACCTAGCATGCAAATACAGCATTGTGTCTATTTTATTATTTTATTTTATTTCTATTTTCAAATTACTCCTGTTAATATTGCCAGGAGAGGCAAAGAAGTGCCAGTGATTTTTGAATCAATCAGCTATAAATTATTTAGGAAGTAAAATAATAAAAGATGCATTTAATTAGCTGCTAACTACTTTTTTTAAGTTTGGTGGTAGAAAACGGCTCCAAGAATAAAGAGAGGATTGGAGAAGGCCCTGTTGTGGGAAAAACTTTTGTTTCAGATTCTGATAGCTGCCTGCCTTATATTATAAATCTTCAGGGACGCCTGGGTGGCTCAGTCAGTTAAGTGTCCAACTTTGGCTCAGGTCATGATCTTGTGGTTTGTGGGTTCGAGCCCCATGTCAGGCTCTGTGCTGACAGCTCAGAGCCTAGAGCCTGCTTTGGATTCTATGTCTCCCTTTCTCTCTGCTCCTCCCCCGCTTATGCTCTCTTTGTCTTTCAAAAATAAATAAATATTTAAAATTTTAAAAAGCAAAACAACAGCAACAACAAAACATATCTTCAATGAAAAATCTTATCCAATAACACGTGCCTATACTAGTTGGGTGAAACCTTCTGGGAAGGTTGCAAATGGAAGCATTAACCTTAGAGAAAGGAAACAAGCTAGTTCCTTAGTAAGTGGCCTGCAAACTCTAAGAAAATTTATTCTAATCAACATTAAAAAATTCTACTTTGCTGGGCGCCTGGGTAGCTCAGTCAGTTAAGTATCCAACTCTTGATTTAGGCTCAGGTCATGATCTCTTAGTCGTAAGATACAGCCTCACTCGGGCTCCAAGCCTAGTGGGAGTCTGCTGAGATTCTCTCTCTCCCTCTTTCTCTGCTCCTCCACCACTCTCTTACCTGCTCTCTCTCAAAAATTAATAAACATTAAAAATAATCCTATTTAGGGGCTCATGGGTGGCTCAGTCAGTTAAGCCTCCAGCTCTTGATTTTGGCTCAGGTCATGATCTCACACTTTGTGAATTCGAGCCCCCCATGGGGCTCTGTGCTGACAGTGTGGAGCCTGCTTGGGATTCTCTTTCTCTCCCCCTCTCTCTGATCTTCTCCCACCTGTGTGCTCTCTCTCTCTTAAAATAAATAAATAAACTTAAAAAAATCTTATTTTGCAGTGTCTGGTAATTAATTAAGGTACATTTATCTGTTAGAAACATAAAGCAGAACATAATTTTTAAAAAGGATGAAACTAGAGAGTAATACGACTTTTACAAAACCAGCATCTTACTGCAGTTACGTAAAGACCCACAACACTGGCTGAAGCACTCATGTGTCTGAAAAATGAGGAACAACCAGGAGGTCTCTACAGAGTTAATTTCCTTGGAATTCACGATCAGAGTCCAAAAACTGTTCACAATGTTTTTAGAGCCCTTTCTCTTTCGTGTTTGCTTTGTCCCAGGGAGAAGTACCCATTACAAAAAAATCTCTCTTCATTTTTCTGTTCAGAATGGTAATGCAGGTTAATTATCAATCTTTTACACCACATTTAGTCTGGAATGACTCTCACAATTTCCCAAAATCTGCCTTCAAAGGATGAAAATTTGCTACTTTTGAAGATATTTAAAATAAGATGCAGAAACTAAATCCATATGAAGATTTCCTCCCACAAGGAAGAAAGTATGTGGCTGACCCCAGGTCACCTCTGGGAAGGAACAGTGTTCCGTGAAATTGAAGCTTCAGTGTGTTCAGTACGTCCATCACACTGTTCCAGCCACCAGGCTCCAGGTGACTAATATTAAATTCATAAGAAAACATGATAGTTGAGCCAGTAATGTTTCGCTATGAAACCCATAAAGAATGTAATCTAAGGTTATTGAAATATGAGTCACACATCAACACGATAAACCAAGGCTGCCCTAGGAATAATTTTATCGAACACTTTCTGCGTGCAAGGCTTGCGGCAGCATTTGAGATGTGTTCCCTGCTCCCAATTCATGTTTGTGTGGCTGGCAGAGAAGAGGCTGCGTGGGAAATATTATTTACCAATGACGTGGATGTGGGAGGAAATGAAATCCATGAGAGAAGAACCTCCCTGCCCTTCTGGGGCCTCTGCTCTAGCAAGTGAGACCAACAACAGAGGATACAGGTGAGTGAAGTATGTGAGTGTGTTAAATACTGAGGGACAAAAGGAAGTCTGGAAAAGGGTCTGGGGGTGGGAGGTGGCTACAGTAGCCAAGAAGACCCCTCAGGCAAGTGACATTTGAGAGAAGAGCGAGGGAGATCCCTGCAGAGGTCCGTGGCGGTGGGAAGAGCAACAGTGAGTCTGTGAGAGCCTTAGGGGAAAAGCAGAAGAGGTGATTGGTAGAGAGGGAGGGGCAGGGGTCTTGCGGGGAGGGGACAGCTCATTCCTCATGGACCCTTGGACATAGGTCTGGAGGTGACATAAGCCTGGGAGTCCTTGGAGTAGATATGGCTCCAACACCAGCCTGCACCCAAAAGACTGAGTGTAGACCGAGGAGAGAAGAGGTTCCAGGACTGAACTCTGAGACATTCTGTCTTTGGAAGCTGCCCAGGAGTCTGAGAAGGGCTGCCAGGTGAGGTGGGAACCTGTGCCCAGGTGTGGTACCCCAGCAGGTGCAGAAGACAGAGGAGGAAGTGATCAGCTCTGTTGAAGTAGGGTCAGGTAGGGTCAAGAGGACCAAGAGACCACACCCAGATGGGAGCCCCAGAGAACTAAGGGACGTTTTGGGCAGATGATGAAAGCAAAAGTCTGTCTGAGAGAAATTCAGGAGAGAAACTGAGTCACACGATAGAGACAACTTTCTTGAGGAGTTGGGCTGTAAAAGAAGAGACAGGGGTTAAGGTGAAAGGCAGGTCAGGAGACGGCTTTTAAGTTTTTAAGTTGACAATGTCCAAGCCAACTCCTATCTATAAGGAACTTGTGTGAATCACAGTCTAAATTCTAACGACGCATAGTCGCTGACCTCCAAGGTTAATGAAACCAGGGTGTGAGAGCTGCTAGAGGTCTACAATCTTAGTTATTATCACTGCAGTCATTTGGTGGCTGTCCCTGCGCACATACTTCTCTGAATGTCCCCATCTCATGCTCCCTTCTCTGCCTCCACTACATTGTAAGACCCATTTTCCCAAGATTTGCTCAGCATTTTCTTAACCTCCTTGAACTTAGGGTGCAAGTCAATAATACCCAATGCCCAGCTTGGGATTTTCTTAGCTTTTTGCTCCCATGGCAATAATTTTCCATAGTCAACCTCCTGAGTCTCTAAACGGCCTCATTTCTGTATTCTCTGTGGGGTTTTATTTTTCACGTCTCTCAGGTGGGTTCCTCCTGTTCTGTAATGAGCACTTTTTCCCTTTCTTTCTAGACTTTCTCTAGCATCATCTCCCAGGGGCCACTGCCTCATGATCTCATGTCTAAATCTCTCTATCAATGTTTTAGGTGACCTTCCTGACACATTCCCCAAGAGCACACAGCCTTGGAATAATTCTGTAAACTGTTCCTCGTAAGGTATATGCCATGAGCTCACTTCTTTGCTTAAACAGCCGTGGCTTGCTAGTGCAAACCTGCAACTGGGTACCCTTCTCAGGGCCCCGTCCTGCTTGAATACATTCACACTCCCTCTCTGCAGGTCCAGCTAGTCCTCGGGGCTCAGCTCAGGGCCTGTGTTCCCCCAAACCAGGTCCCTGCTCCCAGCCTCCACTGCAGTCTTAACTAGTACTTACTGTCATCAACGTCCTGGAGTCGCAGAACCTTTTGAGAAGGTGATGAAAACCATTAACTCCCTTACCCAAGTAATAATTTACATTAAATGTTACAGGTTCATACCCTTGTTGAAGCACTGTCTTAGATCTTCTGGGGTCGGTAGGGTCAGATCAAGAACTTCTGATCAAAACACAGACATTTCTTCAAATCATTCATCCAACCCAGAAGCAACATTTTCTATCCCTATACCCTGTTCATTTCCCTGGAGGCACTTTCTGGAAGAGCAGAGTTGGTTTGCCTCTATATTCCCAGCATCTGTGTGCCTCCTAATACTAAAGTAGGCATGCGAAAATTTGTTACAAAAGAGTCACCTGGGTGGCTCAGTCAGTTAAGTGTCTGACTTCAGCTCAGGTCATGATCTCACGGTTGAGGAGTTCAAGCCCCACATCGGGTTCTATGCTGACAGCGCAGAGCCTGGAGCCTGCTCTGGATTCTGTGTCTCTCTTTCTCTCTGCCCCTCCCCCATTCATGCACGCATACACTCTCTCTCTCTCTCAAAAATAAATACACATTAAAAAAATTTTTTTAATTATTACTAAATAAATGAACAATTATTCCACTGGCACAGAGACAATAGCTAAAACCAAGAAGCCCTAAAAAGATGTGACTTCTTAAGAATGGATTCTGGATCTGGGGCTCCTGGGTGGCTCAGCTGGTTAATCATCCAGCTCTTGATCTTGGCTCAGGTCATGATCTCCCAGTCTGTGGGATCAAACCCCGACTGAGGCTCCATGCTAACAATGCACAGCCTGCTTGGGATTCTCTATCTCCCTCTCTCTCTCCCTTTCCCTTGCTTGTGCTCTCTCTCAAACTAAATAAATAAACTTAGAAAACTAAAAATAAAATAAAATAAAAAAGAATGGATTCTGGATCTTTCACTCCATCATCACAACTGACTTTATAGTATCGCAATACTTATCATTGTGAAAATGTTAATTGATTGTTAACAGAATCCCAAAATTAAACACAAAAATTCCCTCCAAAATGAAAAAGTTTGACTCTGCTTTTTTTTTTTTTTTTTAGAGAGAGAGCACAAGCAGGGGAAACGGGGAGAGGGAGAGAGAGACGGAGACAATCTTAAGCAGGCTCCACACTCAGTGAAGCCTGACGTAGGGCTTGATCCCATGACCCTGACCTGATCCCATTATCATGACCTGAGCCAAAATTGAGAGTCAACTGATTAAACCACCCAGTCACCCCTGGCTCTCCCTCCCAGGAATATCTATGAGTCTGCGAGGGAGGTTAGACTTATGGGTAGTAAGGTTTTCATATCATCTGTGTGATAATGATGCTGTTAATTATGTTATGGAAAGGAACATTAATTTATGGACAGTCACTTTGTATTTATTGTAAAATAAAAAAGAAAATGGCTGCCATCTGTACTTCAAACACAGATGTAATATTTTAAAAATTTCAATGTAATAATTGTTTAAATTCTAATTAAACTTCTCAAAATAAATTTCAATGGGAACATGAATTAATGTACTTCCCCATTAAAAAATATGTATGCCTTTAGTGGACAAAATGCAATAATCCTACTTAGAATACTCCATCCTAGTGTATGCCACAGGGGGTAATAATTATCACAAAATGAAAATATTCTATCCACTAGGCATTTTATATATTCTTATAGATTATTTCATTAGATTTTCACAATTTCATGAGATGACTATTGACATCCCTGTTTGACCTTTAAGAAACTGGAGGTTCAAATGAGTTAAAAAAAGCTTAGTCTAAGGCTGTGAGACTAGTCAATGGTACCATAGAGACATTGTGTTAAGCATGACTCAGTGGAACAATGAGCAACGAAAGGTTTTGGTTAGTCAAACAGAACAAAACCTGTAAACATTTCCCATTGTTTTACATTGGTTTTGTTGTCTTAAATCATTTCTTAGCATGAAATCTTGTCATGTATCCTTTGTTTTTTGTAATTCTCTTAGTTCTAAGCATAACTTTAGGTACCTATAGAACATTTAATTATTGACTGGTTGAAATTGTGCTAAAACATTCCTCAAATCAGCGATATAAACCAGGATATTATTACTCAAAATTATGACCTTGAGTCTCCTAATTCCAGAATCTCACAGAATACGCCATGGAAGGTGACTTACGTAATAAGCTCTTTTTTGAGGTCTCTTGCATGGAGCTTGGGTTTAGGACTTGGTATGGAGGATTCTCCAGGAAACTTTTTTTCCTCTAAATTTTCTAGAGAGCTCACAGGGTCTTTCTGGAAAAACAAAAACAAAAACAAAAAACAGAAGCACAAAATGCATTAGGGAACCCTGAAAAGACAACTGTATTTGAAGTCATCAGAGTGGAATTTGAGTTTTAGCTTAATGACTTCATTGAAGTTCCTTATAGGATTTGCACTCAAAATTCATGAGATAATACATGTAACAATATATCCTGATTATGATGGACCTCTTTCCTTGGTGAAGAAAAGAAAATTATAATTCATGAGGACATTTTGGCAAATATAACTACAGAGGCATTTCTTGATCTATCTAATGAATATGTTTTAGATTTTGTGGCGTAATGAATGTTTCCTGGAGAACATAGAAATTGTTCTTTATGTACACAGTAGTCATTGATAAAACAAAAGAAATATTGCAAAGTGAACCACAGATTTTTAAATAAAAAAGAATTAGTAAATTTAGGTTAACAAAATGTTCTCTATGATATACACAAAGGTAAGATTTAAATTGTTTAAATATGTAATAACTGGTCTACAATATGTAGACATTAGGTTTGATTTATGGATAATTGCTTTTATTCTCACATCATTTCCTATTTTTTTTTAAGTTACTTCTTTTGCTTAGTATCTTGTAATGCTTTTACTCATTGGATGGAATTTCTTGCTAGATTACCACTAATTTTTGTGGCCTTCTTTTAAGCTTAACACTGATCTTGATTTCATAAGGAAGATTTATTAATCCTTTCAAATGATTTATATACCGACTGATATATTATCTTACAGGAAACTAATGATGGTTTTCCTTAAATACATAATTAGCTTACATTCATCCTTCAGCTTATATCCAGTAAAGATAATACTTCCTGGATTTAATATTAAAGTCAGATTAGTGCTCGCTTCGGCAGCACATATACTAAAATTGGAACGATACAGAGAAGATTAGCATGGCCCCTGCGCAAGGATGACACGCAAATTCGTGAAGCGTTCCATATTTTTCACTCTCCACAATAGCTAAAACATGGAAAGAGCCTAAGTGTCCATCAACAGACGAATGGATCAAGAAGATGTGGTTTATCTATACCATGGAATACTACATGGCAATGAGAAACAATGAAATCTGGCCATGTGTAGCAACATGGATGGACCTTGAGGGTGTTATGCTGAGCGAAATAAGTCAGGCAGAGAAGGACAAA